TATTCCTGCAGGTCAGCACCAGGTTATTCCTGCAGCACAGCACCAGGTTATTCCTGCTGCTCAGCACCAGGTTATTCCTGCTGGTCAGTACCAGGTTATTCCTGCAGGTCAGCACCAGGGTATTCCTGCAGGACAGCACAGCCCCTTGTACCTGCACCTGCTTGGAAAAAACAGATAAGGAAAACCTCAGGTGCTCCCCACTTTGGGAGGAACTAAACATCAAATCTCCTCTCCTGGATACTGTTTGATGTCAACACAAACCTTTGCTGTGGCCACTGACAATCATGGAGAACAACTCTGAATTATCAGGCTTTGCAAAACCTGGGCCTGACCATTTCCCACTAAAATGAACACTTCTGCTCTGAAAAGCGTGGAAGGAGTGAGCCTCCTTCAGTTGTAAGAGGCAAGGCACTGGATAATTTATAAATACAAAACCCAAACACTGAGCTAATGAATAAGAAGAAAGAGTTAATAATTTATTCCCTACAATTTCCCAATGTTTGATAAATGACGTTCAAGCACTTGGGTAGATAAACTTCTGAGAATTAGGGGTAGAAATACCATAAAACACATTTATGAGGATAGACTTCTGAATGAATTTTTTTTTTTTAAAGAAAAGCCCCAGCCTTGTTGTATCCTTAAATAAACACAAGCTTGTAAAAAACTTTAAAGCATAATTAACCACAAGTCTGAGGTTCAGCCAGAGAGACCTGCACTTCTGAGTCCTGMAAATCTCCTGGGGACTGGACACGTGGCAAGGGAAACGTGAACAATGCTGGGAAGCACCGCACCTTGTCCCAGGAGAGAGCCCCAGCATCCTGCAGCACAAATCCAACCCTCTCCTCTGCCAGCTTCMCATTCCAGGCTACACCTTCTCCAGGACTGCAGAAACATAGCTGTGCCTTCATTTATCACTTTGGGTTTTGTAATCAAAAGCCATCCATCTCCCAAAGCCCCCGAGTGTGACGACACAAGGAGCAGAGCAGCTCCTCCAGGCACAGAGCAGCCTAAATCCCACTGGGGGATCTGCATCCTACTGAGGGATCTGCACCCCATTGGGGGAACCACATCCCAATCCTGCCCAGCCTTCCCAAAGGAGAAGCAAGCAGCTGAAATCCAGCTGACCAYGATCTCAGGAATTGCCTRTTTATTCTGTCTGATCTGTATCATKACACTGTTGAATAAGAGCAGCAGACTCTGATAAAGYCCAAACCCAAATCTTTTCCACCAGCTCTTAAATTTAATGGGAAAGACTGTTCTCCCCTCATTTTGAAGGAGTGAGGGGCCTGATTCCAAGGGTAACACCTTGTCAGTGCAGTGGGGCATGTACTGATTTCTCCTGGGCCACTGACACAAACATACTTAAAAACTAAAATCCCGCTTTGACAGGAGCACCAAGCCCTGAATCACTATCAATGGTGATATCTTAATAAAATAAAATAAAATTTAGCTACTGTTTAAAGAAATAAACTCCATTAGCACAGGTGATAGCAGTGCAACACCTGGTGTCCATTTGGTCATTCCCASAGGTGGAGGTGAGGGAACATCAGCTCTGCAAACATAAAAGGCCATAAAGCATGGCCAASCTGACAAAGCTCTCTGAGTGGAGCCAGCTCAGGTCTCAGTTCTTCTTGAGTTCACTTGCAGCCTTYTCCTGAAGATAAACAGGTCCAAGGGGCTCCCAGACCCAGTCCTGTGCGTTTTCACAGGSTGTTTTTCACCTTTTAGTTGATGTTTCTATCAGAACAACCTACTGAGCTTTGCAGCATTCAGTTATGTCCCAATGTCTGGGGGAATTCTGTGTGTTATTTGTGTTTATTTTTGGTGTGTTTGCTCTCAGTTCATCACTCACACGGTTTTCTCAAAGCTTGGGTTACATGGGTGGTGTAGAAAGGATCCCACGGGTAACACCACTGTCCTATATTGGGTTATTCCAATATGAAAATTAAAGGGACACCAGCAGAAGGTCAGACTCATTCACTATGAAAAGGACATACAAAGCCCAGTTTAGAAGTTTTCTAAAAGGGATAAACTTTCCCAAAAAAGACCCAGAAAACATAGAAGCATTTCACACCTGAAGTGACTTGAGGAAGAGCAAGGAAGGGACATAAAAATTACGTSGTTCTCTACTAACTCCCCCAGTAGAGCTCCCACACCCCAACTGTACAACACCAAAAATAAAAACCTTCCCAGCCAAGACAAGACACACAAATCTACATAATTCTCTTTAATATTCCACTCCTGATGAGTTGCTCCATGGGAATTACTCTGCCTCTTGACCTCCCATCCTGTTGAGATCCAGCTCACTGATTTGAGAAATCCATGTCCATGGATTTTTGGAGCTGTCAGATAAACCAACCATTAAAGTTGTTTTCCARCTCAGCTATAAACTATAATCTGAAATAAATATTCCTATCTTTCTAGGAACGTTTCCAAGGATAAAGCAGACTATAAAAAGTACATGCAAAGTTTTCACATCAATGCCAGRAGCTTCAAGGCTGCATCGTAAGTAGTTCAGGTCTGGGGGATTTTCTCGTACCTCATCAGATTTGTGGCTTCTCACAGCCCTGGAGAGTAAAGCTCATGTTTTGTTAATCCTTATGCTAATTCTAAAGTAGCTGCTATACACCTGATTAGAAGGGTAGCTTCAACAGGATGAAAATCCCCCTGGAACTAAGCTGTGCCTCAGTTTATTTATGGCCCCCAATCTCCCGAGGAATAAGGAAACACAGAGCTGACTCACTCTTGTCTGGCACACGCAGCAGCCTGGGGTACATCCTGAGAAACAACAGGCACTCTGTTCACCTTGAGAAAATCCAGGACAGAGAGCTGATCGAGTGGGTCAGCAAATCCCAGCTGATTTTTACCCTCTTTCCACCTTTGCAGATGCTTGGAATTTGGATTCTGGCCCTGTCTCTGCTCAGCGCAGCAGAAGGTAAGATGGGGTTGGTGTTCAATGGTATTTCTCTGCTGCTCTATTTTCCACCCGTTTTCTAGGTGTTATTCTACACCATGGTGCCTTAAAACTTTMCTGATTGAGGTCAGTGGGGTTCACTTTCCCACAGAAGGATGGTGGGATRAGTGTGTGAGTGTTGTCTTTCTTCTCCACTCTGGGAATTCTGCCCTGGGAGTGAGCAAGAAAAGCTGATGTTTCCTATCTCAGAGCAAAGCAACTGCTCTATTAAATATAGAGAATTATTTCTTGTACTCTTCTTAGTGATGGAAATAGAGAAAAAGCCAGGGGCAGGGKATGGAGGCAGCTTGATGAGGGCATAGATTTGTGTACTGGCTTGTGTAATTCAGGATTTCTCAGGTGCAGTGAGCTGTTCAGCACAGTTTCAATTTATTGCAGATTATCTGCGATATTTTAGCTTAGTATGAGGAGAAACCTCGGGCAAAGCAACAGCTGGGGGGAGATTCCCAAGGAATGGGACAGGACAGCACAGAGGAACTCCTCTGCAGACTCTGCTGGTGAGAAATAAGGTGTCTTCATTCCTTGGGGTGAACTGCAGCCTCTGATGGTCTAGGAAAGAACAACTGCTGCTCTGGGTTCTGTGAACTGTGGGATTTTCCAGGGAAAAAAGAGACCCCCAGAGGAGCTGTGCTGTGAGTCCTGACTGCTCCWCTCATTCACACATTATTGCTTTGATGTTCATCTACAGGCAAAGAAGTTTGCTTTGACAGGCTGGGCTGCTTCACAGATGATGTGCCATGGTCTGGGACCACGGAAAGGCCAGTCTACAAATTACCCTGGAARCCAGAGAAAATAGACATTCACTTCCTCCTGTACACAAGAGAAAACCTGGATGACTTCCAAGTAAGAGCTGCTGTGGTTTAAACATTAGKGAATCACATGCAAAAATTGTAAATAAGATTCCACCCATGTAAACACAGACTCCACCTGTGTTCCTGAAAAGTGTTAAAAATGGCCAAATTTCCACTGTAGTCAAAAGACCACTTCTTCCAGGAAACTGAGCATTTTTGGGGTCATTTTTCTCCACAAATAAAATGAAAACACATTAAAAGTAAAGCCTTGTCTGCTCTAATAGGTGTCAAAGCTTGTCCTGAATGGAGATACAGACCTTAATCCCGAGCCATGTGAACCCCTAAAGATGAGTTCAGCATTGCACAACTTTTAAACACCTGCACAGATAACCACAGTTCAAGCCTGAGCAATTTTGAAAACTTATTTACAGAAAGCAGATTTTAAGGTTTATTAAGTTRTTACCTGCACTAATTTGTTTTATTATTTTAAAATCTACATCAATGCAGGAAGTCTCTGCAGTCGACAAGTCAACAATCGAGAATTCAAATTTYAATGCGAGCAGGATGACCAGATTTATTGTGCATGGATTTGTAGACAATGGAGAAGAAAACTGGCTGTCAGACATGTGCAAGGTAGGTACCACAGGACACCCTTAGTTTGCATTTATTAACACATTCCTATAAATTGTCTGTTTTCTCTATTTCTAACCAATTTTTCTCGTGGTATTTGCAGTGGTAAGAATGGGAAAATAGGTCACATTTTCATATTTTATCCAATTTAAATAGTAGATTTGCACCTTGAGAAATGGCATGAGGTAAAATGCATTCAGTTTTCTCTTTAGTGAAGCGAGTGACAGGATTTGACTCTATAATGCCCTTTTTCTTGGCAAAATCAGCACAAATCCTGCAGAAAGGTACTGGTTAGGATCAGGGGTGATTCCAGAAATAACTGCAGACTCCCAGCTCCTGCACCCTCTTTTCCAGCCAAGGTTTCTCGATGTGGAAGGTCCATCAGGAAGGTTTGGACTCCACAGGGATGGTGGAAGGCAGGGACATGGGCTGGCCATGACCAGAAGCAATAAAAATGCAGAAATGCACATCCAAAAGGGACCTCAAGGGGAGCATTTTGAGCAAAGCTTTCAATCCAGGACTTGCTAGGAGCACTGAATGTAGTAAAGCACTCTGCTTTATTGATTTTTGTGCTCATTCCACAAATTATTTCTTAACCCTGTCCCTACGCAAAGTGCAATTACAACTTGTGGTTTTCTCAAGTCCCCCAAAATGTGCTTTATGTTGCAGCTGCAGCTGCCCACAGTCTTACAGCACAGAGCAAAACACCAGCTGATGGCACTTTAAGGACAAGTTTTTTCAATCCCTAACACAAATACAATTTAAAAAAATTACCTATTCCTACTGTCCTCATGAGAACACTAAGAAACAATGTGAAACTTAAAGTGTTTCACATTTATTGCACCCCCATTGCCTGCTTCTTTTTGATACTAGATCAAAAGAAAAGAAAAATGAGGAATGATTGGTGGATTAGTTAATTATTAATTTGTTTAAAGTATCAGAAGCAGATTGAAGTTTTTATAATTTTCTGTCTCACATTTTGCACTCCTAAAACAGAGTGCAATCAATGAGAGAACTCACAATTTTCTTCAACTCACAAACTTGCTCCAGCTAGWCCCTTAAATCCATTTGATTAATTTTCCAGGATGTAGAGGCACGAGATAAAAGTGAATCAGTGCAGAAGTAGAACTCTTGTTTAGTGTTACATACAAAGTTTAATCGAAAATAAAAATTGAAAGTGTCATTATTGATATTATTTTCCCTTCTGTAAAAAATATTGCTCTGGGTATCTGAAATGATTATTGCATTGCATATCMCCCAATTTCAGCACTGTGTGATCACACAAACCCCTCTGAGCAGCACGACCACACACCCATTCTAAAGCTCTGGTTCTTAAAACATTCTCATACAATTTCACATTTATTTCACATTTAGGAGCTGAGCCACAATTAGCAACAAGGACTGATTCCACACTGCATTTACCATGGTTTTCACTTTTGTTTTACGAAACAGAGGATGCTCACTGTGGAAGATGTGAACTGCATCTGTGTGAACTGGAAGAGAGGGGCAAGGTGTCAGTACACTCAGGCGTCCAACAACATCCGTGTCGTGGGTGCTGAAATCGCTTATTTTGTGGATGTTCTCATGGTAAGACTCTGCTGGTTCYAAAGTTACAGTCACAGTATTGATTTGAAAGAAATACAGCTCTGGAACTTTCACAAATGTGGATGTAACCAGCAGCAAATATTGTCCTCTGCTCCAACATCAGTTGTGCTGAAAACAAACTTTTTTTTTAAGGGAGAGGATGGTGTGATAACAGCAGGGACTGCCAGCTTAGGGACAGGAAATTCTACAAGACATTCTCTTAGCACAGCCAAAGAGTTACTCTGTAGATGTTAACAAATGCAGACTAAAATTGTAAATATAGAGAGCTAATGGATATGGCAAACTGCTTTTTCATGGAGACAGAACCTACCAAAACTTCCCAAAGGGCTCACAAGAGCAGCAGAACACAAGAAAACCAGAAAACCAGCTGGCAGCACTGGCTGRGGACAAGCAGGACCCAGCAGCTGCCCCAGGGACAGCCATGGGGCAAAGTGCCCCCTTTTTGCAGCCAGCTTCACATGGGAAGGGAAGCTTGATTTGGAGCCTTCTTTTAATCAAATTTCTTTCAACACTCATTTTCCACAAAAGAGCTATAAAGAACTAAAACCAGAGAGTGTGCTGGGTCTAGGAGTGCTCTGACCTGCCTCTCACTCTCCACATCTGCATGGCAGCTACTGAATTACAGCCCCAAAAGGCTGAAAACATTTCCCCTCTCCTGCCTCCTCCAGATTTGGGGGATGCTTGACCTGCCTGGTGTGACTGAAGACACCAGGCAGGTCTTCTGTGACAAGAACCTGACGGTTCTTGTCTGGCAACCCTTGCAAGGCTTCAAACATTTTGTGAATCGTCAGGGGCCCTCTGAGAGGAAACAGAGCCCTCAGTACTCTTGGCCGAGCTGTCTGGAGTTATAACAGCCTCCAAATGAAGGCAGCACCTGAATAAGGAGGTTTGGAATACCTCTGTGTTGGACAGAAATCCCTAAAGAGGCAAACAGCTGCTGAAATCCTATAGGAGCTCCTGAGTCAGCAGGGAAACTAAAAGCAGTTTTTCACCCCCATCTAAGCCTTCCCCTTCATGCTGCAGAGACACAGCAGGGTTTATTTTTTTCTCTGTTCCCTCAGGATGACTATGGATACTCCCCAGCTGACGTGCACATCATCGGGCACAGCCTGGGAGCGCACGCTGCGGGCGAGGCTGGCCGGAGGCGCCCTGGCATCGGCCGGATCACCGGTCAGTGACCCCAAACACAACCCCTAAAGCACCAAACCAAACCAAACCAAACCCTGCTGTTCCCTTGCTCCTGTGATCGCATCTGGGGTCTGCAGGGCAGCCAGGGGTTGTTGGAATATTTTAGAGCTCAGCCCGTTCTCTCTGCACCCTGAGCAGCAGGGTGCTGGTGAGAGAGGGAAAAGTGTGATGATTGAAAAGTGTGATGATTGTTTTGCTTGTACGTGTTACACAGCAAAGGGATTTTTTTAAAATGTTCACCATTTCCAGAGGTTAAAGCTGTGGGCTTGATCTCCTCATTTGTCACACAGGCAATGCCAAGGGCGTTGTGCATTAAGCAGAGTGGCCYTTCGAGCATAAAAGACGATTTTGGATATTATTAACACAACCCTTTTAAATTGTTACTTTTCCTCAGGGATTTCAGACGTGGTGGACTTTGGACTAATAGCCTACAAAATTCAGTTTAAAAGCAAACCCAAAATGTGCTGCCTAGGGACAAGAAGAGATGCAAGTACAAGGCAGCAAAAATGGTGCAATTTGCAAGATTTTACAAGCACCTGAAATTGCTGCAGCAATTTGGGAAGCAAATTGGTTCCATTTTTTGCTAGGTTCAAAAGCAAAGCTCGTCCCTTCAAAACCAGATGTTTTTCCCAAAATCTGACTGGAGCCAGAGGTAGACAGGCAGGTTTTTAACACCTCCAAACAGGTGGGGTGCTATCAGCAGAAATTCCCTTTTGAGTGCTCTCAAGCAAGGGACAACCACAGAGATGGATCTGTTCCTTGGKATGCAGACACAGTAATCTCAGTTTGAGAAATGTTATTAAAGAGAAGTTAATTTTTTTTAAAGTTGTTTCCAAGTGCTGGGATCCCATATTGCTCTAAGTGCGTAAAGCAGTAAAATTTAATAGGCCTTTCACAGGTGACTTTCTGGAAAAAAGCCATTGATAAAAAAAGCCACATATCCTCACTTTATTAATGCCTCCATTACTTAGATGTAATGAACCATAGGCAACTCTATTTGTGATATTTGTTCTGTAGAATCAGTCAATGCTCTGTGGAATGATTCCATATCTGCATTTCTTTATCCATACATTGCACTGCTCTTTCTCTCTCAGGACTGGACCCTGCACAGCCTTATTTCCAAGGCACTCCAATTGAAGTCAGGCTGGATAAATCAGATGCAGACTTTGTTGACATTATCCACACAGACTCAGCTCCCACGATCCCCAATTTGGGTGAGTGTGCAGCTCTGCTGTGCCGCTATGAATTATTTATACCCTGTGGCACTCGAGTGTTGTGCTGTGTCACAGGCACAGAACAAACACAGCTCCTACCCTAAAACACAGACAAACRTGAAACCAGGTATGAGACAACATGAATTTAAAATGTGTTTACCCGTTTTAAATGCTTCAGGTTTTGGCATAAGCCCAGCCATAGGACACGTTGACTTTTATCCAAATGGGGGAGAGCAGATGCCYGGCTGTGGGAAGAACCCCGTGTCCCAGATCGTGGATCTCGATGGCATCTGGGAAGGTGAGTGTGGTGCTTTCATTACAAATCAAGGGAAAGTTTGGCCCTCAAACTGTAGCCACTTATCATTCCTTAATTCAGGTGTTATGCATCAGCTTTTGTTGTCCACTGCAGACTGCAGTGAAACTCCTAATGTGCTCAAAACACACCACTTTTCCAGGGCTTTTTAAAAAATAAACAAGGCAAAAGGTTTGCCTCTGGGAAATGCATTTCCTCTCAAGGATCTAATAGAGGAGCAAAAGTTACTGGAGTGGTGCCAAAAATTTTGAAGCGTTTGTAGCATCGCGTTGCACTTTGTGTGCAGTTGTCCAGCAGCAGCACTGGTGAAATTGGGCAAAGATGTTCACTCCTGTGAAAGTATCTTCAGCTGAAATTATCCTGAGACAGAACAATTAATTCAATTCCTTGTTAAGTTGCYGACAACAATCCGAGTTGCACTGAAGTGATGTCATTGTGCCTATTTTTAGGCAGCTAAAAAAAGATTGGCACGTAGCTACTCGGAGTTCTTTGTTGTTTTACGTGGTTCTAATAAAATCTCTCAGTGTCAGAGAATCCCTATGTGTCTTTCTAAAATTAAGTTGCACATAAGATTTAAAAAAAAATAAGAAATAAATCTGAAGATTTCTGCTGTGGAGGTTTTTCAGTAGGTTATCTAAGCTTTCTTGCACTACTCAAACACTTTAAACTCTGGGAATCCATTAACTGATTTGTAATAACTAGCCTTTTACTCCAGGTTTTATTCAGTGCAGCTGGAGGCATTACTTTTTCATTCTTCCCCTTTTTTTTTTAATAGAGTAAACTTGTTATCAATGAGGGGGAATTAAAGCACAAAGAAATAACTGCATTCTCTACGGTCTTCTTTTTAACCTAAAGTCAGGAAAATAAAGGCAACACAAAGGAAAATAATATATTCATTATTTTAATTTCAAGAGTCTCCCTTTCATAAGCACCCCCCAAATAATAATAATTTTGTTTTGAAGTCCTCAGYTGGAGCAAATCAGCGCTGCCCTAGGAAGTTCGCTGTTAAATACTTTTCATTTGGTTTTCTTTTGTTATGGTAATGAAACCGTTGCCTACAAAAGACCTGCTTCAGGCAGCTCTGTTCCTATTGTTAAACTCGGTCAGATTGCTTGAATAAATGTTTTTTTGAGGGGCAGGGGCTGGGCTGAGCTGCACAGTCAGTCTCCAYAAAGCATTTCAAGTTTATTTTATACCTGTTGAGCCGGTGACATTCCTTGGCTCATCAGACCCAAGCGAKGTTCCAACCTTGATTCTGATACTCCAGGAATTGTAAGGAGGCTTTTGAGGAGGAATGATGCATCCCAGCATGGCAAGGGCTGTCCTGGTTTCTTTTTTGGAATGGTAACAAAAAATTAAAACTAACCTGGGGGTATCTTTYCACAGGAACCCGGGATTTCGTGGCTTGCAATCATTTGAGGAGTTACAAGTATTACTCGGACAGTATTATCTACCCYGACGGATTTTTAGGTTATCCTTGTGCTTCATATGATCTTTTTCAAGCAGTAAGTATTTCAGAAACTCAGGATGGACCATAGCAAAGATACTGGCTCTTATTTATGCAYCTGAAATTCAATTTATTGGTGCTARCTTGCACCCTGTGTGCAAGGGAAGGGTCAGACATCCTAAAATGCACAGCTTGCGTGGACGGCAGGGGTCAAAGCAGGAAAAGGCAGTGACAGACAGGGACAGAGCTGGCATTGCTGTGGTCAGTGTGGCTTTCCCAGCCCTCTGCTGCATCCAGATGGGCAGAGGTGAGGAGCAGAGACTGTCCCTGGAAGGTCAAATCCCTTCATCAAAGAGCAAGGAGTGGAATCCCACAGGTGATCTTCCAAACACAGCTGAAGTTCCTTATTTTTTTTTTTTCCTAAGAAGTAAAGTTCTACATGATAACTTGATGGGGTCAGTCTGTGATCAGAGCACTTTGGTGGCCCCAGGGTCAAAGCAGTGGTTCGTGGACCAAGGCCAGAAAACCATCCCTGGTCCCAGACTGGGAGACAGGGAACTGCATTTAAGAGCTGCTCACCTATTCGATCTTTCTCAAGCCATGGAAAGGGTTATTTGAAATTTATTCTGTGATACAGAGCCAGTTAGGTGGGTATATTAAAAATAAATGCTTAGACTAATTATTTTTTCTTTTCCTGGGCTGGCTGGATAATGTTATTAATAGATATATTTGTTTTCCCCAGGGAAACTGTTTCCCATGCCCAGCAGGGGGATGCCCAAATATGGGTCACTACGCAGACAAATACAAGGATCAGTTTAAAAAGGGTTTCCTGAAACTTTACCTGAATACTGGAGAGGCCAGGGATTTTCCTCGTGAGTTTTGAATGCTTCCATTGCTACATTCTCCCTGTAAAAAAAATTTTATTTTCCKGTTTGACAATTAACCGCAGCAGATGAACAGATCTCATCACAGCGAAAAATCTCTTCAGTTCTTTATGATTTTTCCCCTTTTGCTCCACCACTAATGCCAGTTTGGGCCCTTACAGTACAAGAAATTTGGTGACAAATTATAGAATCTGGTGGAGGTCACTGAGATATTTGGTGGATTCAGGGTGCATGGAGAAGGGAGGGGGGACAATGCAGAGAAGTTGCAGCAGGGGAATTTCTTATTAAACAGTGTGAAAAATACAGTCACAAGGGCAGTGGTTAAGTGCAGGAAGAGAATCCGAGAAAGCTGGGAAATCTCCACCTTTGGAGATGTTCAGAACTCCATTTGACAAAAAAAGAACAAGTTGATCCCAGCTGGCCTGGTTTCAGAATTGGAAGGACCAGACAATCTCCTCCACCACCCCAGTCACCCTGAATGCCAACACAGTGCTTATCTCACCTTTCTAAGCACAAATCAGAATCTTCTTGAGCTCCTTTTGCTAACTTCACACTAAAACAATGTTCCCACCCACAAAAATTGTCTTCCCTGACCTTCAGAATGTTTTCATGCTGCTTAGATTCTGTTTGTACCCACATTTATTCCCAACASCCCCTTATTCCCAATTTCACTGTGTATGAAAAACCTTCATGGTCAAAATGCTGAGATCTATTCCATATCCTATTTATCATGGTATGGACTAGTTTTCTCTTTTTTTCTCTGCCAGAAAGCAGCACAAATATCTGCCATTTCTCATGCTGATCTCATAAGGACACAATGACAGATTTGACTCACTGGTGTTTTGTATCTTCTGCAYTGTACAGACAGGAAAACAACAAAAACACCTCTAGCATTTGATATTTTAGAGACAGTTTTTTCCAATCTAACTCACTGCATTTCTCCTGTGTAGTCTGGAGGTACAAAGTGACAGTGACYCTCTCTGGAAAGAAGAAAGTAAAGGGATATGTAAACGTTGCCCTCTATGGCAGCAATGGGAACACAAAGCAGTTCCAGATCACCAAGTAAGTTAAAAATTTAACTGAAAAGAAACTTTTCTTCTAGAAMCCTTAATCCATATTTGTAATTAATAATTCTGGTTTTTGCTGCCTCTGAAAACCAGTGATTTGGGGTGAATTACATCAGAAATCTGGCAATAATGCTGTTRCTATATAATAAGATACATATTTTGTCTCTGCTAAATTTCTACCCTTTTGCCACCACAGCAGAGCTTTTGACAGGACTGGTAATTAACAGTAAATGCTGTTTTTCACAGGGGTACCCTCAAACCAGACAACACTTACACAGCCTACATCGATGCAGAAGTTAATGTAGGAAAAGTTACGAAGGTTAAATTTCTTTGGAACAACAACTGGATAAACCCAACTTTACCTAAACTGGGAGCTGCAACCATCACGGTAGAAGYTGGACAAAATAGAACAGAGTAAGTATATCCATTGTGAAAATCTTGAAAGTTACTTGAGAAGACAGGTGACAAAATTATCAGTGGAGTGAAAGCCTTTTCACAAGAAAARCTATTTAAGGCATTAAAAGGAGAAGATTCTCAAGGAAATCTTTTCTTTCCTTCCTTTCAAGACACTGTTCATCCATAGTTCAGTTCCCTTCTACTTCAACCCTTTGCCTTAAATAACCTTAAAGAAAAAATCATCCAGGCTTTAGAAGAGCAAACTTTTCACCCTCTGGGTGAGGAAAAATTAAAGCTGGCTTGGAGTGTCAGCAGAATTCCTGCCAAGCTCCCACTGTGCTGTTTGTCTGGTTTGCTGTCAGCTGGAACCAGCAGAGGTGTTCCCTGATGATCCCTGAGGTCATGGTTGACAAAAGAGGACAGTGAGAACAACCCTGAGCTTCCAATGAGGTTCCCTTGAAATGCTTCAAAAAGATGAGGGGAAAAGGCTAAAATTGATTTCTCTAGGCTTCGTGAAATAYGGATTGGATGTTCACATTACAGGAGCAAGAGTTACTGGTCCAGTTTTACTGATTCTCCTGGAATTTTAGAAATTAGTCCCCTCATTTTTATCCACACCGTGATTTGGTGTCTAGAACAGGAGGTACTTTCAGACCAACCTACAAAGGCACAGTCAAATTCCATCACTTAAAAGACAACATGGGAGGGGAAAACAGTTTTCAAGAAAAATGAAATTATTACAGCTCAGCACCACTTTAATTTGCTTTGAAGCAGAGGCTCTAAGCCTGTAATTTCTAGTCACCAAAACACATAGCTTTACACAGGAACTCACCTTCTACTGACTTGTGGCCTACATACAAATAGTTTTTGTCATTGCATACAAATGGTAGCACAAAATCTGGAAAAAAAATCAAAATTGTGAAATTAAAGTAAGCCAGGCAATGAAGCAGAATGAATACAGTCTATCAATGCAGCAATATTTCAAATTTAGAAGCTCAAACTTTGTTCTGTTCTGTTGTGTCAAGTGACAGTTCAGGTTGAGTTAACATCAAAAGAAATCCACTTGTGCAATTCCAACTCCTGCTGACAATTCAAGGTGCTTGCATTTATTTTATCCTCAGGTACCGTTTCTGTGGTTCTGGGACCGTGAGGGAGGATGTTCTGCAAACCCTGACTGCCTGCTAACAGCACATTTGGATACCCAAAACCTTTCTAACAATAAAAGCTGYTCAAACATAAACCACCAGAGCCTGCAGCTGTGATACTGGTGGGGTGTGGTTTTTTGGGTGTTTTTTTTCTGGTTTGGGAGGTGGAGGTTAAGCCTGTGGGTGCCTCTCTATAGAGAGAATTTTTGGAGTAGCTTTAGAAGTAAATGTGCCAAAACCTGTTGAAGGATTCCCCTGCTTTCAGCCTGTTCCATAGTAATTTCAAGCAGGAGGGAAGGGGTAACAGAAGCAAATTCATTTCTGAATTTGTGTAATCCTGTCCCATCTCCCTCAGCATCCTACTGGGTAAGCAGGCTGTGTCCCCTCTGCTACTAGAGGAAGCTCATCCCCACTGAAAAAACCCACAAAACTGCTGGGGATCCACTGCTACACAGATCTGCCACTCCTGGGGACCTTTTCTCTTCTGCAGTTTCTCCTGAGGTTCCCCGGGCTGGGTCTCTGCTCTTTCTTTCCCTCTGGGTGACCTTTCCTCTCTCAGAGCACCTCGTCCTGAAGGGCATCATCCTCCAGCCAGGTTTTAGGTTTTTACTGCAGTGGTGGAGATGGAARCCAATTTATTTTGTGTTCTATACTACCTTCCTAGTATAGAAAGAAAAACAAGTTTGTTTTCAGCTTGGTTTGTTTGCTTTTTTTTTTTTTTTTTTTTTTTTTTTTTATTTTTTTTTTTTTTTTTTTTTTTTTTTTTTTTTTTTTGTTTGTTTGTTTTTTTGTTTTTTTGTTTTTTTTTTTTTTTTTCTTTAAGTGCATTCTGCCAGCTCTCACAGGGTGAGGGGAGGGAGACGGGAGCTGTAAATAATAGAAAAAGAATCCTCAGCACTGAAGATTAGCAACCTGTGGGCATGCTCTGAGCTGGAGGAAGTTCTTTATGCAAAATCCAAAGTGTTCCTTGTTTTAACACAGCTGAAGAGAATATCCTCCAGCAATTTCAGCTCTAGTCAAAGACATACAGGCTTTTATGCCTGAAAACCTTCTAAATTGTACTTGTGCTTCTTACCCAGGCCAAAAGGCATTATTTCATTTAGATCAGATGCGTGGAAGAGGTAAGTGTCTTTATTACAGGAATGGTAAAACTGGCACAGGCTGGCTGAGAAGTGAGAGATGCCCCATTTCTGGAAATGCTCGACACCAGGCTGGTTGAATTTGCTGAATTCCTCCAGTGCTGCCCCTGTTCCATYCCTTCTGTCCCTGCACAGCTCTTCAGGCAGCAGCAAGTGAAGCACACAGCAGAGCTCTCTCTGTGTCATAAGGACACTTATGAGCTGACTCTTATTTTGGCTCCAGTTTTTCCCAAATGTGGTCAGTCTTGTAGTGGTAGAATAATTTAATCATGCCTGATAAATGCAAGGATTAGAGTTCTTTGTCCTGGGTTGTTCTTACAAAGCTTTCCTTGGCTCTCCAAGGATCCAGCCAGAGGAAAAGAGGCTTTCACAGCTCATCCAGTCCTTGGAGGAGCTCACAAACCCTCTCCAGGGAGATAAATAGTTATGGGTTTATGCAGAGCTGGCATCTGATGCTGGGTTTTCATGCACCCCACACCCTTTTGGCATCACCTGCTTCCCTCTGCTTTCCCTGTCTCTTCCTCAATTTGGTGTCCTGGTCCCGTGCCTCCTGCTGAGGAAATCTCCACAGGGTTATTAACTTCCTAACACTGCACAAGAGTTTCTCCTTTGTCTTTTGTTCCCTTACCTTGGAATAAGCGGATCCTTGCCTACGCAATTGTTGTGACAGTTATGATATTCTCAGCATTATCCTTTGCCACAGCCACTTCAGCAGCCCATGTAATTTTAACAAACACCCAACAGACTCGAGACRTTAGAGCTGACAACAGAATAATAAAAAATCTCCTTTTAATAATGAACCGGAGCTGCCGTCATCTTGTTTTAGCAGAGTAAAACCTGCCCCCCCCCCCAACCCCGAACACTTTACAAAGCTATTACATAAAATGCAATGTTAAATGAACAACAAATTACTTTCCCTTTAGCTGGCTTTTAATGCTAATGGTGCTATTTATTCCTGACCTTTTGAAATATTAGATTTTTWAAATGACAACATAAAAAGAATTCTTGTTTGAAAACGCGAGCGACTTTAAACCACGTGTTATTACTTGTAAGTATAGCATGCACATGCATCATTCATTTCAGTGTCCCATTTAGGGCTAATTGGTATATATTTCAGTTGACATATATTGTTCTCCTGCAGACGTGTCAAATTCCTTAACGATGGCGGTGACAAAAGCAGAACGCTTGAGATATATAAATTATGCTCTTTACCATATAATCATTCTTATCTATTGGGAATGCTATTTGTGACAAACCACGTTCAAAAATACACAGCAAATTGATTTTTTTTTCTTTTTTTTTTCAAACTTTAATATCACACCATTCATGGCAAGTCTTTGATTGCATCCTTAAATGTAGAAATGTTTTGATTTTTATCTGCATCGTTTTGCGGCTTTGGAAAAGCTCACTTTATTTATTAAAGGAAGAGTAGCACAGCGAGGATCCTAAAATGTATCTTTTGTTATCAGCATAACAAAAAAAAAAAAAAAAAGGTCTGTAATTGTGGATATAGAGTGAGTAATTTGGCGAAAAACACTTTGTGCTGTAGTTTAGGTTTTATAATTCCTGACAGAAATTACTATTATTCTGTTGGTGGGCAGCACTGCAAAAGGAATTTTAAATATTTTAAATATKGGAACAACTTGGGCCACGTATTTCCATTACATTTTCGATTACCATGTGCGGTGCATTTTCCTCCTTTATTACAAATCACCTTAGAATTAGAAAAAAAAAAATAAATTGAAGATTTCATGTGACTCTAATTATTACTGCGATATAGCAGCGCTCATTGTTGTCTTTAGACAATGCTGTCCACAGTCATTACTTTGCTCCATAAATCAGTAGCATAATGAGGTTCTRTCTCTCAAGAAATATTTGAGCGTGTCTTAATTTGGCATTGATGAATTCTCCTTGCTGAACCTCTGGAGGGTTTTTTTAATCTAGTTTGTCATATCAGAGCTTTCATCACCTAGCCCCAGCTGACAGTGTTATGTCTGAGTATTTATTTCCATACCTTCCTGGGATGTGTCCTCAGAGGTTGCAAATTGGAATTTTATGATATTATGCCTTAAAGGCTGGTTTATCTCTATTGGAGTTTAAATCTTAAACTGTTTTGTCCCACCCCCATCCTTCAGAAATATATACTGTGTTAAAGTGTGGAAAAACAAGGGTAAATCTGTTAACACCTGGTTGCTGATATAAAGYGGGAACAGCTTCTTTGACAAAAGAGATATTCACTCGAAAAAAATACCATCTTTTGCCAAAGAAATAGTGTAAACAGTTTAGATACACTTTTTTCCAACTAACATTTGAAGACAAGGAAAAGGTAAAATGTAWCTCCTGTCTTAATTAGYAAAAACAGGTCAGCAGAGGGCAGGRAAAGAAAGCAGAAATGAAAAAATACTAATAGTGCCCTATGTGGCACTTATTTCTAAACTGTGCTTGCAGACAAACAGAAACAGGGAGCAAAGCAGTCTTTAAATTAATCTCAATGTTATATTTAATTACACAATAACAACTGGGTGGCCACTGCATTTGCCATCACTTTGATGACCTATATTTTGTGAGACCCAAAGACAAAAGTTGMATTCAAGTCCTTCTGCATGCTCTGMYCCATGGAATTATAGTTGTGTGTTTATCCTATGAAAAATATTACCTTTAAGTGCATTAAGTAGATAATGGCTTTGCATCTAACCAATTAGGGAGGTGAAGGGGAAAAAAATGGGATCTAATCCTCCACAGTAATGCGTTTGTTCAGATAATAATTCACATTATTGTAATTCAGYGTATGATTTATATAACCTAAGTCTCATGTCCTCATGAAAAATAACAGCAATGAATATCACTGGTGGTGTGGGGTGTGCAGTTTCAGAGGATGGATTCTCTGGGAATTCTGATTTTCCTCTTTGGAAAGTGAGGCTCTCCTGACTGCAGTGCCATTTCTGGCTCAGGAGAGGCTCTTAATGGAGGAGGAATACATACAGTCATCACCTTAATTATATGGAGGCAAAACAGGGTTTAAACTTGTGTATGGCCTGCCTGAGGTGMTGGAAGGGCAGGAGCTGCCCCTTCYTTCTCCCAACAGGGAACATTCCATCTTCTGRCCACAGCCTGGGTCAGACTACAGAAACTGCCACAGGAGCTGCTGAAAAATAGTAAAAAAACCTCTTGGTTWAGACTGACAACCTCTTCTGTATTGTTTTTAATTCTTTGCCCAAACACCAGCCATCCCTCCTTTGATGAGGGAGAAAAAAATCATCAGGAGGGAAGTGTGAGAGGGTTCTCCACCACCCTGAGCTCTCATCGAGGTGCCCTCGGGTCATTCTGTGACCTGACCTCACATCTCTTTCCACCCTTTCTCATCCCCTCCTTGCCTGCAGTGTGGAAATCAGTGCATCTGACCTTTTACAGCCCTGCAGAGGCACAGCAAATCCAGCAGGGAGTCAGGGAATGTGTTTGCCCCTCTGCAATCACCTCCAAATCCCAATGTCCCACAGAAGGCAGGCAGGGCTTGGGAAAGGAGGCTTCTTCCTTTTATTAAGGACACACTGCAGGTCCTCAAGCCTCTGCTTTAATTCCAAAAAGGAGCCAAAATATCTTTGCTGGTTCATGAAAATCAGCCTCTCCTTCCCTCCCACAGAACCTGAATTAAGAACCTTTTCCTGGTGGCTGTGACAGAGGGGACACCGCTCATGTTCAGTGGGTCTGGAGGGATGGCAACACAGCAGCAGAAAGAAACATGTTTTTATTGCTGCAAGGTATTAAAAACTTATTTTTAACCAAGGCAACATGTTCAAAGTGGAGAGCAGAGTGACTGCACTGAAGAATAATTCTCCTTTTGACCCACAGAGAAAGAGGTGCCTAATGAAAATATATGATCACGGACAGTGTGAAGATAACTGTCTGATCAGATAATGGAATAGTTTTCAGTGATAAGA